GCTCAGTAGAACAAGCACTTGCCTGGCAAGCACAAGGGCCTGAGTTCAATCCCTGGTTCCACCAAAAACAAACAAACAAACAAAATTCCATTGAGCTATCTTCCTGGTCCCTAGCACTGCATTTTTTGTTTGGTAAGCGGCATGCGGTACTGGGGATCGAACCTGGTCCTTACGCTTGCCAGGCAGGCGCTTAGACCACCAAGCTATCTCTCCAGCCCCTAGAACTGCATTTTTAAGGAGCTCCTGCAAATTAACAAGGCAGAAATAAAACTCCCATTATTTTCATGCGTGCCAGAAACCCTCAGCAACAGGCCTTGGACTCAGTCGGAAACAGAAGAGCTCAAAGGGCTGGAAATCCTGCAAATCAAGCATGATTCCGCGGGGCGCTAAGCATAGAATCGTTGGGGGGCACCCTGGGGTGGCTGCCCCCGAAAGCAACTGGGAAGGGCCTGAGGGTGGGCAAAAGTGCGGGCACAGGGGGGCTCCTAGGCCTACTCCGGGCCAGCAGATGCGAACTCCCTCCCCTGCTGGCACTGATTTTATGCAGAAGGGATTGATTGGTGTTGACAGGGAGCTATTTACCTGTCTAATTAATTATGCCAACTAATTTTCAACTTAATTGCACTTTTCGGGTCACTGGGTAACGAAACCGTATGGTTTTCCTGCTGCTGCAAGCCCTGACGGGGTTGGCAGGAGAGAGCAGCATCCGCTCCTGGAAGTCGAACAGGCCAGGGCTCCGCTGCAGCTGGCACCAGCCCCTGTGACCTGTGTGTCCTCTCCGCCCACGCGGGCAGGCTACAGCTCGGGAGCACTGACCGCTCACCTCCTAACAGCACTGACTTACTGCCTACCATGAAGCCCAGAGGCACTCGGGTGCAGAGAAGCCAGGCCTGCCTTCCTCGCCCCCTGCCACCCACGGAGCCGCACATGGTCAGGAGAGGGCCCTCCCCAGCCGTTCCCAGCCCTGGCTGCAGACAGGAACCCAGGCTTGGGGGACAAACCACTGAGCCCCTGAGGGATCTGCTTCACACCTGAGCCTCAGTTTCCTCCCCTTGGACCCCCTCCCCCGTGCTGTCCCTTTCTTTCTCACAGAGCCATCGTAGAATGCAGAGCCAAAGAACGGTGTCTGGATGTCCACACCCTTGGCATCCCTGCTGCTGCTGTGTCACCGCAGTGGTCTCAAATGTCCTAGATTCTGGGTTTGACTGATTGCTTTCTCCTCATGTTACCTAAAAATATTTGTTTAAATCAAAAGCTTATTGAAATGTCATAAGCACAGTTCAAAGAACTGTTGAAAGCAGGCCATCGCCCTCGATATCTGACATGTTTCCCAGGAGCTCAGCCTCCCTCCCACAATCTGTGACTCAACCACCCAAATCAGGAAATCAGCAGAGGTGAACTGCTGCCCGGGGCCCTCGGGCTCTGTGAGCATTTGGGCCGCAGTGTCAACATCCCTGATGGTGAAAGAAGCCAGCGCAAAAGCACACGCTGCATTAGTCAGCCTGACTCCCCCACCTCCTTCGGCCTGCCCAGGCCTGGACTTCCCTCAACCTCTATGACATTTTTTTTTTTTTTTTTTGTGAAGGGTCTACAGGGTGTTCAGGGACTCACTACTAGATAGGACTGGTAGGGATTCTCCTGTTTACAGCCTCCCAAGAGCTGGGATTACAGTGTGCAGCACCACACCCAGTCTCAACCGCCCTCTCAGCATGCCCTGGGGGGTGGGGCCAGCATGGCAGGCCTGGGGATCAAACCCCCGGGGTGCTTTAATCCCCTGAG